CCAAGGCCGCAAGCTGGGGCCAGGGGGCTCGTTGGGTAAATGTGCATGCCCCTCCAGCCTGGAAACCCGAACTTGGACCCTGGAAACCCATGTAAAGGCCAGATAGGGTAGTCTGTGTCTGTCATCATACCCCTCCCACGGTAAGATGGGAGGAAATGGGAAGCTTGTCGACCAGCTATCCAGAAACATTCAGCCAAACCAGCAAACAGGAAGGATTCTCTACCCAACGTGGTGGAAGGTGAGGACCCACACCTGAGGTTGTCCTCTGACCTCTACATGCACACTGTGACATGCTCATACTCTGAAACATAAACATGTGTATGTGTGCATGTGCCACACGCGCACACACACACGCACACACACAAATATAAAAAATATAAACCAGACTCATAGAGGATAACACTCCAGGACAGTCAAGTGAAGGTGGACCTAGAGCAGGGTCCGAGGGCTGACGCTTGGGAACCCTCTTTGTGGAGTCTGGACACACCATCTCCTCCACAACGACTTGTTCACCACCAGGAAGTCCAAGAGCCAGGGTTTTTATGGAGTTTCATGAGATGGGCATGATTGACAGAAGGAGGCCAGAGGATTAAACTCTCCCTCCAAGCCACCCCCCTGGGAGGGGGACATTTGGGGCTGGACGGGAAGGTCTGGCTGCAGTCTTGGTCTTTCTGGTGATCACCTCCCACCCCAAAGCCATCTGAAGGTTGTATGAATCCTCCATTAGCGTGACAAAGACATCTCTTCTCGGGAAATTCCTAGGGTTTTGACACTCTTGCCTAAGAACTATGGAAAAAAACCAACCTATTATTTTCAAGCTGGGGATGAGGCCTGGCACCAATATGGCAAATACTTTTTCTTTTCTTTTTTTTCTTTCTTTTCTTTTCTTTTTTTTTTCTGTATCTGCACACATCTATACAAGTAGGAATGTTGGGTCCCAGGCATCTTGAACTCATAGCAGCCAGCCAGTTATCCTGACATCTTCAAGTACTCTCAAAAGCCGTGGCAAGACAAAGCGACAAGAAGAAAAAGAAAAACAAAAATCTCCCTGCCAGGCATGATGGCTCATGTCCACCAGCTTAGCCCTCAGGAGGCTAAGACGGAGGGCTGTAAGAGCACTTGAGGCTAGTCTGGGCTACAGTGTGCCACCAGAGGTGGGGGAAGGAGGGAGGGAGGGATGGAGGGAGGGAGGGAGAGAGAGAGAGAGAGAAGAGAGGAGAGAGAGAGAGGGTGAGGGAGGTCCCTCTGAGGATCATGCTGCTCTTCTCCCCTATGGGGCACGCTGGGCTGGGAGCCAGCTCCCACAGCTGCCCAGCCTTCCTTCCCCCTTCCCCCAATGTGATGTCGGCTTCCTGAGAACCTTTCCTTCATTTTGGTTCAAGGCTGCTGGTCAGAAGCCAGGGTCTTAGGACACAGGCTAGCTTTGCCAGCCATTGTTTCCTTTTGTTTAACACAAAACAAATCCCGAGCCCCCACTTGGCAGGGCAGGCTTGGTTTCCTGAGGACACTGGAGCTGCCTGCCACCAGGGCTGACTTTGGAGGCCGAGGCTTGTGTGAACGCTCTCATCCCTTCCTAATCAGCGTCGTGACCATACCTGCTCTGAGAAACAAGTGGGCTATGGTGCTTGCTTGCTGGGATGGGAACTCTTGAATCCAGAGTCCGGGCCTTCCCCAGGACTTGTGGTGGGGCTTCCCTTGGTAAAGATGTGTTGGCATCCTGCTCTGTTGGTCTATAGGTCATCCTTGCCCCACCATGCGAGCTAGAACTGCCGTTCCTACGTCCTGTTTCCCTTAAGACCCTGGGCTGTTTGCATACCAGCCCAAGATTGAAACTCCTCCACAGCATTTTTAAGATTCAGTACTGGGGTGTGTTGAGATAGCCCTGCCTGCGCCCTTTGGGTCCCAGAGTCCGCGTTACCCTCTCTCAGAAGTGGAATACCACTGTCATGAGGTTGAGAGAGGAGTTAGCTTTCTGGAGGGAGTAAGGATGCTCTTGGTAAATTATAGGCTACCCACAAGGCCGGAAAACAAGAAAGGGTTCATATGCATTATTCCATTTACTCTTCACAGGGCTCTGTAGAAGACAGGATACTATTATCATCCCCAATTACAGGTAAGGAAACTGAAGCTAGAAGTATGGACCCCACTGCTCAAGGTCACAGAGGTGATAACTGGTAAAGCTAGGTAGATTTCAAACTGGGAATTGCAAAATGCCAGAATTTACGCGGTTGACCACGTTAGGGCTCTCACGCACGGAGGTATCCGTCCTGTTTCCTGCCGCTTTATCTCCCCGGTGGGACAGCTGAGCCCCATGGGAGTGGAGGCCAGGGGTGGGGATCGGCAGACTCATACACCTTCCCCGTAAGAATTTGACCACAGCAGAGCATGGAGTGGAGTGCTGATTGGCACGGCTGCCTTTGTCTCCTCCTAAGCCGTTCCAGCCCTCACAATGTGTTTCCCACTTTGATGTCTGCAGAGCGAGCCCCTTTAAAACTGCCCCCTGGTGGTGAAAATGTGCAAGGCAGCCTCAGAGGGACAGGGAAGGACACGGAGTCTCAGTGCGGTGCTTTGCTACCTGGGAGATCGTGGACAGGATGCTGAACTCCTCCTAGCTGGGAAACGAACTTAACGGTGCTCACTTTACAGTCCTGGGAGGACGCAGGGCTTGTTCTCAAAGCCCAGTTGGAGTATGGAAGGAGGGATAAACCCAGGCTGCTGTTTCCCAGGGTATACAGCCGCCTCTAGGCTCTCTCTCTTCTTGATGGCCTCTGCTGCTCCTGCTTAGGTTTAGAGGCAGAGTGGCCGCAGCCCCTCCCACCTCCAGGCTCCCGCGGGCTTGCTTGTTGGGCTGGGCTTGCTGGTGCTCCTGCAGTCCTGCTCAGTGGTGCTTCCTGCTGCCTACCGGTCTGGCTAGATAGGGGACTGGCTGTGGAACTCTGTCCAGGTGCCAACTTTCCTTCCTTCCTACAGGAAGTGCACGGTAGTTCTTAGTAACCCCGACCGACTGTGAGAACGCGGAGCCGAGGAGGGGTTTGCGCACTTAATGGGCTTCCTGGATCCCTGGGGTTGATCAGGCTGGGTTCCAGGGGCAGACGTTCAAGATGCTGGAAGAAGTTCATGGAAGATTCCAAGTTTAGGGAACGTCCCTGAGGAGCTCAGTGGAACGTTCTCATGAGGACTTTTGGAGCTGACCTGACACCTAGTGGCTACAAATGGGAATGACGCCAACTTTGGGAGTTGAATTGGGTGGAGGCCGGCCACTTGGGATACTAGGGGAAGGTTTGGGCCTCTCACGTACTTAGGGTGGAGTGTCAGGGTCAAGGGGTGACCTAGAGGGCTGAAACTGGTGATAGAGGTAGACTTTAGCTCTCTAGACTGCCCTCATTCTTAGAAATCAGCCTGAAAGAAAATCAAATTTGTAGTGATCGTAGCTCCCTCTTTAATTTTATACGAAGATGAACAGAAAGAAACGGGAAGCTTTCATTGATTTATAGTCATTCTAACTTTCAATTTTTGTTACATGTTTGAATGTCCCTTTCAGCCATACACAATCCCTAGGCCCTATTAGTTATGGATGCTCCATAATAAATTTGTAGGTTATGAAAGATTTCAAAGATCCGTGACTTCAAAAACCCCAGCTTTCTTTGAGGAGACAGTTCCGACAGCCACAGAACACCCCCGATATGTCCGCTGCTTTCCTTCTTCTCCACCATCCTCACTGTGACCCTGAGCTCTTATCTCACCACCCAGCTCCTGGAAACTCAACTCCAGCTCAGGATTGTACCGTCTGTGGTACCGACCATTAGTCATTTGCTTGTCTGATTATCATGTGCCGAAGACAGGCGCTGTCTGCCCTGACTGCTCTACAGTGGTCACTGGTGACGTGATACTTGACATGCTTCAGCATGCCACAGCCTGGCCAACTGTGGTGGTTTGAAAGAAAATGGCCCCCGAAGCGAGTGGCACTATTAGGAGGTGTGGCCTTGTTGGAAGAAGTGTGTCCCCGTGGAGGCGGGCTTTGAGGTCTCATACATGCTCAAGGTACCGGTAGCCCAGTGTCTCAGACCACTTGCTGTTGCCTGCAAGATGTAGGACTCTCAGCTCCTTCTCCAGCACCATGTCCGCCTGCATGCCTCCATGTCCTACCATGATGATAATGGACTGAACCTCTGAACTGTAAGCCTCCACCCCAATGAAATGTTTTCCTTCATAAAGAGTTGCCGTGGTCATGGCGTCTCTTCACGGCAATAGATACCCTAACTAAGACACCAACCCACCTGAGCCCTGTGTGTGCTCACGGCTCTTCCTTTTCTTCTTTTTGTTAAATTCTCCCATCTTGCCTTTCTCTTCTCTTCCCTCCTCTCTTCCTCTCCACTTGTTTGTGTTGATGTAGGAGGGTGTAGGCATGTGTGTGCCGCAATACTCTTGACGCCTGAGCCGTCTCTCTGGCCTCTTTTGCTTTTTGAGACTCACCAAGTAGTAATTTTTGTAGTGTGTGTGTGTGTGTGTGTGTGTGTGTGTGTGTGTGTGTGTGAGAGAGAGGTGTGTGTGTGTGTGTGTGTGTGTGTGTGTGTGTGTGTGAGAGAGAGAGAGAGAGAGAGAGAGAGGTGTGTGTGTGTGTGTGTGTGTGTGTGTGTGTGTGTGTGTGTGTGTGGCACGAGCGCTTCGGCGCCATAGCATTCACACGCAGGTCAAAGGGCAACCTTCAAGAGTTTTCCTTCCATCGTGGATTCCAGGATCGGATTCAGGTAAGCGTGTGCACCCAGTCCCTTTGCCATCTGAGCCGTCTTGCCGGCCCTCTCAAGGAATTTTTAAATGCAACACAGAGGGATGAGCTCTGGAACAGACTGAGAAAGTTTTCTTTTCGATGTTCCATTACTCAGGCGAGACCCCTGAGGCTCCAAGGTCAAGGGACCAGGCTGTGGTGTGATGAGGTTGGACTAGACAGATGTCGAGTCTCTTGATCTCTTACCCTAGGGTCCTTCCATGTGGCCCCACAAAGTTCCTTCTAAAGGACCCTTGCTTCTTCAGTGTCTCTTTCTCCTCACACTGCCTCCCGTCTACACAGTCTTTCCCCTTGACTGAGCTTACACTGACCATGGCCCCTGCCTCTGTGACTTAACCTCTGTGACTCCTTTCCTTCTGTCTAGCAATCTTGCATTCCCAGTTAGTCATTGTGGCTCTAAATGAGACCACTTAGACTGTGTCCCTGTGACGTCACTAAACCCCGAGTGTTCCCCCACCCCAACGAAGGGAACAGCCTCAGCAGCACAGAGATGCCCAGAACCAAGCCAGATTTTATTTGCTCACACTGAGCTCTGGTCATGGCATCTATCCATCTGACCTTTGGTTGAATCTCCTCACAGCCACCACAACTTGCCAGGACTTCTCTCGTTGGAGCTTCTTTCCAGACAGGACTGGCTGTTGTGACTTCCAGGCCTTTAAGAAACTGGTCTGAGGGCAGAGAGCGGTCCTCTTTTCCTCCCGTGCAGCTCGGGGCCCGTAGCCATCATGAATGACACAGTAACGATCTGGACCAGGAAGTTCATGATTAACCGTCTGCTTCGGAGGAAACAGATGCTTATTGATGTCCTTCACCCTGGGAAGGCAACAGTACCAAAGACTGAAATTCGGGAAAAGCTAGCCAAAATGTACAAAACCACACCAGATGCCATTTTTGTGTTCGGATTCAGGACCCACTTTGGTGGCAGCAAAACAGCTGGCTATGATTCTCCTCTAGATTATGCTAAGAAGAATGAGCCCAAACACAGACTGGCAAGACACGGCCTCGATGAGAAGAAGAAGACCCCCCGCCCCCGGAAACAGCGGAAGGAGCGCGAGAACAGAATGAAGAAGGTCAGGGGCACGGCAAAGGCCAGCACTGGTGCTGGCTAAAAGCCGAAGGAGTAGCTCTGCGGTGATTTGATTTGTGGTGATGGACAGACAATTTCGGAGAGAACAAATAAACTCAAAGCTTAGGTGTCTGGAAAAAAAAAAAAAGAAACTGGTTTGAAAGGTAAGGGCATAAGGGAACGCTGGGCTGGGGAGGTGATAAGGTAGCTGCCCTGCAAGTGTGAGGACCTGAGTTCAGATCCCGGATATATAAAAGCCCGTGCGATGGTGTCCCAGTGCTTAGAGCTGGGTAGGAAGCTCACTGGCCAGTCCATCTAGCCAATCGGTGAGCTCCACCTTCAGGGAGAGACACTGTTTCTTTCTTTCTTTCTTTTTTTTTTTTTGGTTTTTCGAGACAGGGTTTCTCTGTGTAGCTTTGCGCCTCTCCTGGAACTCACTTGGTAGCCCAGGCTGGCCTCGAACTCACAGAGATCCGCCTGGCTCTGCCTCCCGAGTGCTGGGATTAAAGGCATGCACCACCAACGCCGGGCTGAGAGACACTGTTTCAAACATTAAGGTGGAGAGCAGTAGATGAAGGTCCCAACCCTCTGGCCGCCACAAGTACGTGCACACACAGAGGCACGCGCACACACTCGCATGCATACACGTGTGTGCGCACACGCACACACCAGACGGCCAGGGAGATGGCTCAGCAGTTCATGGCCCTTGCCAGAAGCCTAACAACCTGAATTTGGTCCCCAGAATCCATGTCACAGAAGTGGTGGACTTATTCCCACAAGTTGTCCTCGACCTCTATAATGGAAATGTGGCACGTATCTACCCGTCTTGCCAGACCTAGCTTAAGTCCCACCCAAGTGATGCCCCTTGGTCCCCTGTGCACCCCCCCCCCAGTCACCCCTGTCCTCACCTTGGAGGCCTGAATGCTGTCATGTGGGCTGGAGTTCCTCGGGCACGGGTCCCAGGCTCTTTCTCAAGTCTTGCTACGTCAGTGAGCTGAGGATGAGAAGGAAGGTGGACCTCGGGGCCTGGCCGTGGGCTCTGGGACGAGGCCTCTGGGATACTGTAAATAGTCTCCTCTATCTCACAGAACACAGATGGCAGACGGCGGGGGCCCAGGGCTGACACCCATCCCACTAGGGGCCCTTTGGCAGGCAGGGGGAAGGGCTGAGGGCCATGCTCACCTGAAGTCCACCACACCGTTCTTCTCGTTCAGCTTCTTTATGAGCTCCCTGACCTGGTACCGGTTGATGGGGACCTTGTTTTGCTGAGAAGGTGGATGGAATGTGTTATGGGGTCCTCTGCTCCTTCACACCCAGGGACCCCCCCATAATGTCTCACTCTTGGGACCGCTGGTGGCAGTTGAGGGCTCAGAGATGGCTACACCTACCACAGGGAGGTACCAGAGGCAGCCGCTTTCCATGGCACTGCCTTGCCTCCAGAGGACCCCCTACTTCCGGGGAGGGACAAGGACTCAGGATCCAGGAGCAATGCGTGGCCTGCTGAGGTGGGCAGGAGCTGGACTCTTCACCATGTGAAGGCCATTCTTGCTCCCAGATACCTAGTCCTGGCCAGCCCTCTTGTCCGATGGTCTGGGTATTAAGCATTCATCCCTGCCCGGGCCCCAGACCCTTCCCCCAGGGCCTTCCCAGGATGTTGTCACAATTGATCCCTTTGAGCATACATTTCAGGGGACCTCCATTCCATTCACTATGTTGGCAAGAGGGACTGTGGGGGCTCAGAAGTTGGTGACGTTGAAGGCAGAGTGTGGGAGCTGCGGGGAAACGGCCATTTCTCCCATCTTTACTTTTTATCTTCCTAGGAGCCAAACGCAACAGGGCAGGGGGGGGGGCTCTGAGATGAACGTATGCGTCCGGGGTGAGGAGTGGCATCAAGCCACGTGACAGATGTGGGCAGGGGGTTGAGGGAGGTGTTGAGTTCCCCTCCGAGTCTAGATGAATGAGGGCAGTGCCCTCAACCAACCTTACAGGGCAGTATGAAATGCAAGCACATGCCAGCCTGTCCACTTCCCCGCCCCACATCACCCAGATTCCCCGGGAGTCAGCACACCTGTATCATGGCTTTCCGGAACTCCCCCACAGGCATGGTCATTGATTGCGATGGATTCAAGTTCTTGAAGAACTCCACAATTGAGATCTTCTGTTGGTCTGTGTAGTTCTGAGGGGCGCAGGAGGTGCCAGGAGCAAACGCTTGGCTTTATTATGGCTATCACACCTCCCTCCTCGTCCCCCAAAGAGTGGCCCGAACTCCTGGACCCAGAAATCCCTGGGGAATGGGAGAAGGCAGCTCCAGCTTGAGGCCATCTGTCCTTCAACCACGGCTTTAGAGCGAGTACCAAGTGCAGGCCGAGGAGCTACGGCGCCTGCATTTGTCCAATTCCCGGCAGCCTCACCCCAACCCAACAGAGGCTCCACTCATCCCGTCCACTCCCTGACTTCACAGACGGACACCAAAGCTGCTAAGCAGCCCCTAGTATCTCACAGGTGCCCCATGGTGACCAGATCGAAGTCTATTATTTGGCTTTGAAATGACCTCCATCAACACCCTGCGCAGTTGGGGCTCTGTGGCTGGTGGGTGGGGCTTCTCTCAGCTGGGAGAGCACACAACTGCCTCGTGATTGGTTGGATGGGCTCTAGGCACACCTGGGGTTCTTACAGTCCCCCACAAATATACCCATGGAGAAGTGCTTTGCCAGGAAACCTTAAAAGCAGCATTTCTGTTTGTATCCTCTCAAGTCACTCCCCATTGTCAGAAAGATGGCCCGTTAGTCCTGGTGGATTCACACCGTTTCCAGGGCTCAACAGTTCTCATGGCTCCCTGCGCCAGATGGAATCAAACCCCAACGCAAGGTCTGAAATCTGAGGATACCAACCACGTCTAGGTCAGCCTCCTTTCTGGCCAGCTTTGCCTTTCAGGCTTCTTTCTGAGTCTGGAGTCCCAGGATTTCTCAGCTGGACTGACGTGGTTCTGCTGCCTCCAGTGGCCCCGAAGGCCGCCTGCACTTGGTGTGTAAACCCTCCCTGCTCAGAAGTCCTCTTGCTGGAAACGCCTTCCAGGCTCCATGCTCACTCCAATCCTTCCTATTCTTCTGGGATCCTCCCCAGCCCCACCTCTGCCAGGAAGCCCTCCTTTTCTCTTAGCTCATCCCTGGGGTGTTTTTACTTGGAATTTCGACGAAGTTTGGTGGCCATGCTCACTTGTGACCTATTTCTCCTGTGACATTTTCTTTTGGTCACTCCTGAATCTGTCCCGTCTTTCCAGCCACCTGGTTGCCTCTTTCCAACCGTAGTGTACACAGATGTCTTATTTCATCTCTACCTGAAGATTTCTTTCCCCCTACACTCTCTTTTTCTTTGCGGTGCTGAGGATTGAACTTGGACCTCACACACGTTAAACAAATGAACTGCCACTGAGCTATATACTCAGATAACCCTCATTTGATTTAGTATTTTGAGACAGGGTCTCCTTAAGTTGCCCAGGCTGGCTACTCTGTAGCCCAGGCAGGCACCCTGAGTACTGGGATGGCAGGTCTGCACCACTACTTGAGGTTTACACTCAAATTTAAATTTATATATATATATATATATTGCTGTTCCTGAGATCCAGCAGCATCTGGCTCAGGGTCTTTTTCTCCCACTCTCCATTTCTTTCTCTTTCTTTCTTTTTTCTTTTTCTTTTTTTTTTTTCGAGATAGGGTTTCTCTGAGTTTTGCTTTTTTTTTTTTTTTCTGAGATAGGGTTTCTCTGAGTAGCCTTGACTATCCTGGAACTCACTCTTTAGACCAGGCTGGCCTCGAACTCAGAGATCCATTTGCCTTTGCCTCCCGAGTGCTGGGATTAAAGGTGTGCGCCACCACTGCCTGGCTTGCCACTCTCCATTTCTATTCTTTTTTTTTTTTTTTTAAATATTTATTTATTATGTATACAGTGTTCTGTTTGCATGTATCCCTGCAGGCCAGAAGAGGGCGCCAGATCTCATTACAGATGGTTGTGAGCCACCATGTGGTTGCTAGGAATTGAACTCAGGACCTCTGGAAGAGCAGAGAGTGCTCTCTTAACCTCTGAGCCACCTCTCCAGCCCCCATTTTTATATTCTTTAAAAACAAGAAGTGGGACCCTCGCTCTGCATCCGGCTTCCCTTGTAAAAACCCATCTCCCCCTGGTTTCATTGGAGTCTTCTTCCTAAACAAACCTGATACCTTTTGCCTTCTAGAACTTTGCACATAATAATTTTCATGGAAGATCTTTTTAGATTTAGTTTTGGAAACTGAGGAATGGAACCGATCAATCAGAGGCCAGAAACAGCCTGAGGCGGGGGAGGGGGGCACACCCCAGGAACTGCATTAGCACAGCACCCCCAGATGGCGGCCCCCAGAGGTGCAGCCACACCTGAGAGACACCAGACCAGGGGTGCAGCATTCCTTTCAGCATCAATATTCGCTTGATTTTTAAAATTTCACCCTTGTACCTACTTGTGATTTTCTGGAGGCACACTAAGAGAGGGCTTGCCGGGTGTGTGCCCAGAAATAAAGGACTCTGCTAAGTGTGGGATGATTCGGCATCCAGTCTTAGAAGCTGCAATCCCAGGGCGCTTATTATGTCCAGGCCTTACTCTGAGCACCTTATACCTATTAAGTAGTTCAGTCTTCACAGCCACCCTTCTCGTCTCTTCCCATTTTACAGGTGAAAAGACTGAGGCACTGAAGGCCTCCGTGGCTTGCCTTTGGAGGCACATTAGTAAAAGGCAGGTCTCAGGTAGCAGACTCCATCCTGTGCCTTCACACCCCCCCCCCCAACCAGATCTCGGCTTTTCTCTCCTTTGGGGTAAGAAGCAGTGTCCAGTGACCCAGTATCCAAGGGCAATAGTTCAGGTCTCCACTGAAAGGAACCTTATTAGAAAGGATCACATTGACACTCAGGCAGAGCCAGTGCTGGGTGGGTGATTTGGGACCATGTGGCAGCTTCCTCCAGGGTTTTCTAAAGCTCTAAGGGGGAGGAGCTCACCTGGATCAGTTTCATGGGGTTGGTCCACAGAGAGGTGGTTCTCTTGCTGGAGAGACCCTGTAATCCCTTGTATACCACGTCCAGCTGGGGGTGAAGGGCACAGACCCCATCCAGGACTCTTACAAACTGCTCTGTTACCAGAACGTTCTGCAGCAGGGAGAGAGGGGCCACAGTGGAGGTAATGTCACTGTGCCATGTGCCTGCTGACTCGAGTACCCATCGCTCCCACTCAAGCCAAGTTCAGGAGCGTTGGTCCTTCTGGTTTGTTCTGCTTCTGAACTGGCGTGGGTTCTGGTGTTTTCTAGCGTGGGACTGACTTGTGTCGTGGGTTACTTTTTGAGGCAGGGTCTCATTCTGTAATCTAATATAGCCTTGGATGTCACCCAGGCTAGCCTTGGACTCATGGTGATTCTCCTGTTTTCATCTCTCAATGCTGAGATTACAGGCATGTGTCACTATGGCCAGTTTTATGGGGTGGTAGGCATGCAATCCAAGACTTTGTGCATGCTAGACAAGCAGCCTACCGAACTTGGCTACATCCTCATGGCTGTTCTGGTGTTATGGAGCTTGTGACTTGATTTGTAAGTTTCCCAGGGGTGTGTGTGTGTGTGTGTGTGTGTGTGTGTGTGTGTGTGTGTGTGTGTGTGTAGTGGTCTTACTCTGTAGCCTGGACTGGCCTTGAACTCACTAAGAAGCATGGGTCGGTTTTGAACTCATGGTGACCCTTCTGCCTTAGCCTCCTGAACACTGGGATTATAGGCATGTGTCAATCTGCTCAGATCTCCTAGGAGGTTTTGTTTAGATGTTTTCATTGTGTTTGGGTGGCTTGTTTGTAACATGCTACTGACTCCGCTCTTTTCTGAGACGATAACTTTAAGTGGCCCCATTTGATGGGCAGAGGCTGGTCTATACACAGATACCCTGGCCTGTCCACACCTATGTGAATGTTGTCCTTCAGAGCAGGTACCCAGGATCCCCAGTGCCAACCATCCTGCTATGGCTCACAGGGAACTAGAAACTCCTCTTTTGGAAGAAGTCAGAGCTGGCATCCAGGACATGGAGAGTGTATGTCGTTTGGAAGAGCGATCTAGCCTGTTCTCCATCAGCTAGATGACCCTCATCTTTCTTCAGGTATGGTTCTTAGTACGTTTTTGCCTTTTTAAAGGATTGAACTCATAAGGGCTGAAGGTTTTGCAGATACTCTGGTCTTAGGAGCATCTACAAAGCAGGAATTCCAGTACGTTTACAGTCATGGCGTCATCATTGACAAGAGGGTAGGACACTTGGTCCCCAGGGCAGTGTGAGTAGTGATGCAACCTTTCAGAGGCCTAGTGGGAGGAGCTTGGGTCACTGGGGACACTGCCCTCACAGGAACAGGTGTCATGCTCAGGGGACCTGTTAGTTCAAGAGGGAAAGGAGACTAAGTCCCCAGCTTCCTGTCTCTCCGTGTGGCATCCTTTCCTTTCCCTATGCAAGACCGCTGTGATGCCATCTTGTGTAAGGTAAGGTGATCAGAAGGGCCATCACCAGAGCTGGTTCCATGCTATGGGGTCATTCGGCCTCTGGAGTTGTAAATTAAACAGCAACCCTTCTTTATAACACCCTGGCTTCAATCATTTTGTCACAGTATCAGAAAAAGACAAACTGACTAACTCAGTCTATTGGCTCTGGCAGACTGGTTTAACGGCAGTTACGTCATGGCTCACGGACCCCTGTGTCGTCATCTAAGCCCTAAGCAGTGCATTTCTAAGGTTTCCTCAAGTGTACCAAGCCTGGAGCCATGCCCCCTGCCTGCAGGAGTCAGGTGGGCAAATGACTATGAAATCCGAATGTGGCTGAGACTCTGGGGCAGTGTGGGTTGGGGCTGAGGGGCTTCGTATCCAGGCACAGTCAAGGCAAGAGTACGAGTGTGGAGAGATGGGACCTCTGAGGAGAAAGACTCAGGAGCAGGAGGAGCAGGGAGGGGTGGGTGACGGAGCAAAGAGAAAGAAGAGTGAGCAGCAGTGGCTTCAAGTGGAGAAGCATTCAGCTTCAGATACTCAAAATATCATGGCTCAGGTAACTGCAAGCGTTAGGGGAAATCTTACAGAACATCACCGTGAAGCATTAGAGGAAGGAAGATGCTCTCACATCACTACCTTCACGGAACTAGAGAAGGAGGCGGGGCCTTGACTTTCTCCTAGGTGGTTCTCATTTGCTGTGGGTCCTGGGCAAATGACCCAATGGCTGTGCTTCAGGTTTCTTGTAGGTGACGTGGGAAATGAGGGAAAGGATGTGCTACAGATCGAGTTTGCACCCCCACCTTCAGGACGGTTAGTTGTTGTTTGTTTTGTTTTGTTTTTTTTTGAGACAGGGTTTCTCTATGTAGCCCTGGCTGTCCTGAAACTCACTCTGTAGACCAGGCTGGCCTCACACTCAGCGATCTGCCTGCCTCTGTCTCCCAAGTGCTGGGATTAAAGGCGTGCGCCACCACCGCCGGGCATCACGATGGTTAGTTTTAAATGTCGATTTGCCACAACCTGAGAATCGTTGGGGAAGAAGATCCGCAGGAGGGATTGGCTAGATCGGGTTGGCTTGTAGGCATGTTGGATTATCTTGATTGCCTTGACTGATGTGGGAAGACCCACAGACCATTGCCTGGATTGGGGACCTGGGCTGTATAAGGGTAGAGAGGGCTAGCCAAGCAATAGTCCTGCAAGCATGCTTGTACTCAGTTCTCTCTGCTCTTGACTATGGATGTGATGTGACTGGCTTCAGGCTCTTGACTCTGTGACTTGTCTGCTGTGATGGACTGTAACCTGGAATAAACTTCTCTTTCCTCGTTGGCTTTTCGTCAGGGTATTATACTATAGCAACAGAAATAAAACTGTCCCACACCCTCCAAGGGCACTTGAAGTCCCTTTTGCTTTTTTCTTTTTTTTCTCTTTTTCTTTTTTTTTTTGAGAGGGTCTCACTGTATAGCTCTGGCTGTTCTGGAACTCACTGTGTAGACCAGGCTGGCCTTGAACTCACAGAGATCCCCCTACCTCTGCCTCCAAAAGTGCTAGGATTAAAGGCACGTGCCACCACACCAAGTGGGTTTCAGGTCTTAACCCCGTAGATGTGACCCCATTTGGAAACAGGGTCTTCGCGAGAGATAAGCAAGTTAAAATGAAGCCGTTAGGGTGGGCCCTGATCTAATACGATGAAATCCTTACAAAAAGAGAAAAAGGGATTTTGCTTAGAGATGGTCGTGGACTCAAGGAAAATGCCATGAGAGGCTGAAGGCAGAGATTGGGGTGATAAGTCTGCAAGCCAAGGGGTGTCAATGACTGCCAGCAAGAGCAGAGGCTGGGAGAGAAGTCAGGGGCAGATTCCTTCTCAAGTCTGGAGAAGGAACCCAGCCACTTTACACCTAGATCTTGTATTTCTGGTCTCCAGAGCTGAGAGGCAATGCGTTTCTCCTGTATTAGCTACCTGGCTTGTGGTACTTTGGTGTAGCTGCTCTGGAAATGAACACAATACTCTATGAACCTCTTAGAGTAGTGTCTGAGGATCCAGCACCCTGAAATCACATTGGGACAAAAAGTACCAGTGCTCGAAAGTATAGGATGTTGTTAGTACCAGCTGCCATCCCTGTGATGATTTGGGCACGTCCCAGGCAGCAGGCTAGTTGGTTCACGTTCCTCCTTCAGGAAAGGATCACCTCTAAGTAGAGCTCTGAACACATTAGGCCACAAGTTGTGAAACAAAAATGCATTTGTGAGGTGGGTCCTAAAAATCCTGGGATTCTGACTGGGTATGTGGCACATGCCTTTAATCCCAGCACTCTGGCAGGCAGATTTCTGTGAGTTTGAGGCCAGCCTGGTCTATATAATAGCAAGTTCCAGGCCAGCCAAGGTTGAAAAAAAAATCCTGGGATTCTGGAACATTCTGGGACCCAGTCCATTTATTACCAAATTTGGTAGTGTATGAATTTTGTCCTGGGGTCCCCCTCCCCCATCTCTCTCTATGGCTTTTCCTTGTGAATACTCTTAGGTGCTCATGTCCTGGGTTCCCAGGATCGAGTACATTATTGCACATCGTGGTGATATTGACTGAAAGGTTACTCCCCTCACTCAGCCCCTTGCCTCTTGTGTGGGAGGGCCTGTGAGGGACACAGCTGGCAGATTGGTGACTGGCTTGTGCAGGGAGCAAATGGCCGGTATTTGATCACTTACAGAGATGTCAAGCTCTTCCATCCTGGATTTGGGGTTCCTCTTGATGGACAGGATAAGATGCACTGCCCCCTCCATACTCATCGGGTTCAGGAAAAGCTGTGGGGGAAGGGAACAGCAGGAGGAGCCTGAGATGGGGCAGGAGAGGCTGTGTTAGAGTGCAGCTTCACTTTCCCCATCGAATCACAACCTCTATGTTGCTCCTAGACTTCTCCACCTATTCCTGTTCGTTTGTCCCACCATACATCCTTCCATCTTTCCACCCACTACTCAGCACGCATGTGTCTATTCATTTACTCTACCCACCCGAAACCCATAAGCTCATCACTTTGTCCATCTATCACCTACCCATGCATCTACTCATCAAGTCACCTTACCTTCCATCCATCTACGCACTAATTAATCCATTTCACTATCCTTCCATTTGTCTACCCATCCACTCACCAGTCTCTCTTATCATCCATCCACCCACCCATCCATCCGTCCATCATCCACTCATCCATCCATCCTTCCATCATCCTTCCATCATCCACTCATCTGTCCATCTATTCATCCATCTACTCATCCATCCATCCACCCATCCATCCGTCCACTCATCTATCTACTCATCCATTCATGCATCATCATCCACTCATCCACCCATTCCTCCATCCTCCATTCATCCATCCATCCATCCGTCTATCTTACCTTACTACCCATCCATCCACTCATCTATCCATCTACTCATCCATCCATCCTTCCATCATCCACTCATCGACCCACTCATCCATTCATCCACTCATCCATCCATCCACCAACCTACACGTCAACCCATCTCACCCTTCACCCACCCAACACATCCATCCTCCAACAAATATTTATCGAGGCCTGCTGTGTATTAGCCAGTGAGCTAAGCCCAGGTAGACATGGCAAGGGCTCTGTCTTCAGGTGACATTACTCTAGCTGGAGAAGACAGGCAGATAAGTAAATGGCATCAGATATGTGAGGACAGCAGTGACAGAGGGGACGCGTTCATACTGTAGGAGCAAAGAAAGGAGGGTCCATCATGGGTAGGGCACCCTTGAGCAAAGCCTTGCTGGGATGGGGGGAATTAATCATATCTGAAGGGGGATCAGGAGCAGAGTGGGGGAAAGATTCACCGAAGAAGAAAAGAGCAGGCAAGGGTGAAGGTGCGCTGGAGGGAACAGCATTGGGGGGTGGGTGCGTGTTGGACATGCTCCGTAAGCAGGAACAGAGAGGAGGAGGCAACACAGCCAGGAAAGGTCACGGCATGGTGGACCTTGTGGGATTGGCTTAGGTTAGTACCGCAAGGGTGCCGAGAGCCACGGAAGCATGGATGGAGATTAGGAAGAGCGAGTGTGGAGGCAGCTGGCCTTGGCTTTGACTCCCTGGCCTCTTTGTACCCATGGAGGAGCTGTTCCAAGGGTCCCGACCTAATAATCCAGCCAAAGCATTCAAAAAGGTGCCCAGTGCATGGCAAGCAGTGCATGGGTGGTGGCTGTTGCTGTGGGAGGCCACTTCAGGTGGTTGTATTAGGAGGGAGGCCATGGGGTTTACAGGGCATTTACTGTGTGCTGGTTTCCCAGACTCTGATGTTCTCCGGTGAGAAAAATCCGGTGCTTGTGCGGCTCGGCACCTGAACTTTGTGGGACTCATTTCCCAGGGAGATTTCTTAGTTTCCCAAGACGGGGGACCAAGGGGGTATGAGTGTGGAGGACAGTAGATACTTCCTTTGGGAATTTCCTTTTCTACTTTTTTCTTTTATTTAAAACATTAAAAAAATGATTTGTGTGTGTGTGTTCACAGAGACTGGGAGCTTCAGAACCCCTGGAGCTGGAGTTACAGGTGATTATGAGCCACCCGACATGGGTGCTGGGAATTGAGCCCAGGTCTTCTGAAAGAGCAGTGTGTGCTCTTAACCACTGAGCCATCTCTCCAGTTCCACTTTAAACATCTTTTAAAATTTAAAATTCATTTGTTACCTATGACCAACCACTGTGGAAGATTAGAAGTTGAAAACATGTTTGGAATCACCTAATTCCAATAGACAGAGGCAACCATTGTCCATCTGTGTGAGATGGCCTCTCTTAGTCTTAAAAAAAAAAGGATATGTTTTAAAACTGTGTGTATTTATTAGTGTGTGTGTACGTGTGTGCGTCCATGTGTGCCATGACGCGCATGTGGAGGTCAGAGGACAGTTCGCGGGAGTCGTTTTTTCCCCCCTTCTAATGTGGTTCTGGGGATTGAACTCAGGTCATTAGGCCTGGCAGCCAGTGCCTTTACCCACTGAACCATCTTGCCAGCCTTACTTCTTAGTCGATGGAACCTTTCAAAAAGTTCAGGTTCTTACAGCAATCCTTGGCTCCACTGGACCTTAACGCTGAGTTACTCGCAGCCTGGACCACCTCTCTGAGTTGAGTGGTCCCATTCCACCCCAGCTGGGAAGTCTAGTTTTCCTTCTAGATGTCCAGTCTGGTTCTATTGGCCGTTATCGTACTTCCTCTTCCAGAATCTGGCTTCTCCTTGTCCTCTTCACGGCCCCTCAGACAGCCATTCCCCCTCCATCATCAAGGATCCCAATACCCGACATGCCTCCATCATCCTCTTGGGTTTGGGGGTGGTTAGAATGGCCTCAGAGAGCCAGATCCAAGCGGCCACCCTCTTCATAGTGACGTGGTCTGAATGAGTCACTTAGCCTCTGTTTTCCCATCTGGACAGTGGAGCTGGCAGAGATACCTGGCCACACTGGGCAACGACTAATGAATTATTGTATCATCAGATTCAGGGTGTGGCTTGAGAGAGCCCAGAGAGAGGACCTTGGTCCTTGACCAAGTTCTCTTGCGTCTGTTTTTTTTTTTCCAACTCTCCAATGGCTTGTGTCATATTAGTCTCCACAAGTAAGCTAATTGACAATGAAATATTAATCCATCCATCCACTCACTTACTCCAGATTCACCGGGTGTCCAGCACCATGCTGGGTATGAAGGGTATGATCATGGCCAAACTGAACATCCTTGTCCGTAGGAAGATTTCCCATTCAAATGAGGGGTATAGTTAGGAATCATAGTACAGAGTTCTGCAGGGAGGGGAAAGCAGAGTGCTGGCAGCGGTCCCCTAACTCAGGAGGTCGCAGGCTGTCGTGGATTCTTGTGTGCCGTGCTCTGCAGCAGAGCAGGCATGGGCGTGGCTGGCGCTAAGAAGGAGAGGAAGAGACAGGCGGCCAGGGGAGCCATGAAGAGCAGGGGTGAGCTGAGGCTGCAGAGGCTCATGGGGATCAGAGGAATGCCAGAAACCACTGGGACCTAGGATTAATATCCCCAAAGCATAAAAAGGCCTTAGTGTGAAGAAAATCCAAAGAGAGACCCAGATGGTATGAGGGGGGACCTGTGTAGAAGCATACGTATCACCAGAGAGCTGGGGCAGCCCTGGGTGTATAGCAAGGGCGCCGTGTACACATGGAAGTACAGTGTGTGTGTGTGTGTGTGTGTGTGTGTGTGTGTGTGTGTGTGTGTGAAAGAGAGAGAGATGATTCTCCCCAGCATTATCCAGTCCACTTCTACTACCCTGCTTCCCTACAACGCAGACAGATGGATCACACACATACAAATAAATATATGTACACACACACACACACACACACACACACACACACACACACACACACACTCATGGACACACAGGCAGACACACGTGGCATACAGACACAGACATGCATACCAAGGTGCCAGCTCAGCGAGTCTACCTTCATCACTTGGAGGCTTTCATTGACCTCCAGGCCCTTGCTGATTCTGGAGGCTCCCTCATTGGTGATGCCATTTCCACTGACATCTATGTAGACTAGACAGCTGTTGAGTCTGAGGACGTCCGCCAGGGCCTGAGCTCCTTCGTTCCCGAAGCCGTTCATGGAGACATCCAGTTTCTTCAGGGTCACGTTAGACTCCAGGGGAGGGGAACAGCACCAGCATCAAGGTGGAGTGAGACTCACCCAGGAAAATGCCTTGACTGCCAGCCCAGCCCCAGGCCTCACCCCCACCCTCATCCTAACCGATCTAAACCTTTATCTTTACCCTAACACACTCCGCCCTTACCGTCATCCCCCACAACTCTCAACCCATCCTGTCCCAGCCTAACCCTCACTCTCACCTTCCCTCTCCCCCCTCCTCCCCCAGAGCTCAGTGGTTTTCTCTAGAGACAGATGTACACAATCATTCCCGTTCCCTCCAGATGGGGCTCGATCTCAGGTCCTCTCGAGACCGTCTCTCTGCCCTTTAGCTGAACTATACTCTGAAGGCATCCCTAGAGACGGTACTCAGGCCTCAGTAGGGAGGATTTATAAACTAGAAGGGCACATCCAGGGATCGTGGAAGGAACCCCAACAACTCAGAAGACACTTGGTGAGAGCTCTGCACACCCGAATCCGTGGTGACCTCAAGGAAGCGGTTGAACTCACCTCTTAGAGCGTGACTTACCCGGAGACCGTTACACAGGGCCAAAGCTGCCCGAGTGTGGAAGTGATTCCAGCTCAGGTTCAGCGACTGGAGCCCTACGTTGAGGGCTGGGAAGAACAGAGACTCAGCTCAGCATCTCCCACATCGCCAAGACCCAGCCTCAGACCCACAGCACTGGAGATGGGTAGGCAAGCTAGAACACTCAGCTGACAACTTAACATTTAAAAAAAATTTTAATTAAAAAAATTTTTTATGTGCATTGGTATTTTGCCATGGGTGGCGGGTCCCCTGGAACTGAAATGACAGACAGTTGTGAGATGCCATGTGGGTGCTGGGAATTGAACCTGGGTCTTCTGGAACAGCAGTCAGTACTCTTAACCACTGAAGCCATCTCTCCAGCCCCGCCCCCGCCTTTTTTAATTTTAAAGACAGAGTCTCACTATATAACGCTGGCTGGCCTGGAGCTCACAGAAATCCATCCATGCCTCCCAAGTGCTGGGATTAAAGTTGTATGCCACCATGCCTGGCCAGGTGATAATTCTCAGTAAATTACTTAGACACAAGATTGAAAGATGACCTTTAATTCTGGGAAAAAATGACTTAAAACAGTCCCACTTTTCTATTAAAGAGGGCAAGTGGCGTGATCCAGCTGGTCAAGAGGTGACCACAGATGTTTTCTCACGAAGAGGTGTGCACTCTGAGACGCCACCTAAGAAGACAGCACAGAGTGTGGAAGGACTCCATCATAGATGTTTACCCTGCTGTCACAAATACAGGGACATATATCTTGAGTGTTCGTCTGGGACCCTGAAGGGCGTGACTCAATTGACAGAGTGCTTGCCTAGCAGGGGTGAGGCTTTGGGGTTGATCTCCAGAACCACGTTAATTGGACATGGTGGTGTATGCCTGTAATCTTAGCACTTAGAGGATAGAGTCAGGAAAACCAGAAATTCAAGGTCATCCTCAGATATATAGCAACTTCTAGGCCGGCTATATAAGACTCTGTCTCTGAGAGATAGATAGATAGATAGATAGATAGATAGATAGATAGATAGATAGATAGATAGAAAGAGACTGAGACTTGAGGATATGATTATCCAAAGATGGAAGTTATAGTTAGGGGTCAAGATTTGCACAGAAAACACACTTTTAAAATTTATTCATGGGGGGCTGGAGAGATTGCTAAGTGTACTAGCAATCTCTAGATTGTTAAGTGTACTAGCTGTTTTTCCAGCACTCACATGGCAGCTCACAAATGTTTGTTACTCCACTTCCAGGGGATCTGACACCTTCACACCGACATCTATGCAGGCTAAACACCAATGCACATAAAAAATAAATAAAATTTATTTGTGGTTTAGACAGGGTCTCGGCATATAGCCATTACATGGCCGAGAACTGGCTGTGTAATTGTGGCGGTCTTCTTGCCTCTGCATCATGCCCAGCTCACGCATGCACGGTTGTGAGCCACCACGTGGGTGTAAGCAGTTGAGCCTGAGTCCTCTGCAAGAGGATGTGTTCTTAACCTCCAAGCCTGCTCTCCAACCCGGACCCACAGCTTTCTAGTCTCAGTCTCCCAAGCAGGCAGTACTGACTACAGGCCCACGCCACCATGCCTAGAGATCGACAGGGCCTGTCACCTCCAAGCTGGCTTGGAGCCTACTGGGTAGATCAAGCCTTAACCTCTTGAGGGTCCTCTGGACTCAGCCCCTAGGGCACCCGGCCTACATTGCCTGGTGGCACGAATCCTTGTGTTGACACAAATGCTGTGTGTGCTCCCTTGTTGCCTGCTTGTCTTTAAAGGTGCTCTTGGGTGCCAGGTGTGGTAGTGCACGCCTTTGATCCCTGAATTTGAGAGGTGGAGGCAGGAAGAGCAGGAGTTCGAGGCCAACCTTAGCTATATGAAATCTTGTCTCAAACAAACAAATAAGCAAACAACAATACTCCAAATTAAAACAGTAGAGCTGTGTGTGGAGGCACAGCTTCCAGTACTCGGAAGTCAGAGGCAGGCAGTCCTCTGTGAGTTCAAGACCAGCCTGATCTACATAGCAAGTTTCAGGACAGCCAGGACTACCTAGAGAGACCCTGTCTCAAAAATCACAATAAGAAAATTTCCCAAAAGATCTTCTTTGTCATCTTTTATCATGTATATGTTTTAAATATATTTCTATCAAATATGTGAATAGTTTAAGGTGCAGTTTATGTTATGTGACATGTAGTAATCCTGATCTTCCCAACACCAACCAGCTACTTTTTAAAAAAAGATATTTATTTAGTTTATTTTTTATGAATGTAATTTAAAAAATTTTTATTAGACTTACTCGTTTTTGTTTATGTACGAGTGTTTTGCCTGCATGTATGTATGTGTACCACATGCACGCCTGGTGCCTGTGGAGGTCTGAAGAGGGCATTGAGTTCCACAGAAGTGGAGTTACAGATAGCTGTTAATCACCATGTGGGTGCTGGGAGTCCGACTTGGGGCCTCTGCAAGAACAGCAAGCAAGTGCTCTTAACTGCTGAGCTATTTCTCTAGCCCTGAGCTTTATTTTATGTTTATCCGTGTGTGTGCGTGCGTGCGTGCGTGCGTGCGTGCGTGCGTGTGTGTGTGTGTGTGTGTGTGTGTGTGTGTGTGTGTATGCTGTGTGTGTGGCTGCCCAAGGAGGCCAGAAGAAAGTGTTGATCTTCGGGAGTTGGAGTTACATGGGCTTGTGAGCCGCCTGATTTGGGTGCTGGGAACAGAACTCTGGTCCTCTGCAAGAGCAGCAAGCAGTCTTAACTGCTGAGCCATCTCTCCAGCCCTCATGCCAGCTGCTTTTCTTTTTTTTCTTTTCTTTCTTTCTTTCTTTTTTTTTTTTTTTTTTTTGGTTTTTCAAGACAACGTTTCTCTGTGTAGCTTTGCGCCTTTCCTGAATCTCGCTCGCTGGCCTCAAACTCACAGAGATCCGCCTGGCTCTGCCTCCCGAGTGCTGGGATTAAAGGCGTGCACCACCGCCGCCCGGCACAAGCTGCTTTTCTACAAGATCTCATCACTGGCAAGTTTCGCTTCTCACATCCAGATGTTGGCTTTGCTGTATTATTTTGAGCATGATTTACACCACTTTTATAATGGGGACACTCAGGACACATACCTATGATCCAAACACTTGGGAGGTAGAAGCAGAAGGACCTCAAATTCAAGGCCAGTCTGGGATTCAATAACAATGAGACACTGTTTCAAAACAAAACAAAACAAAATAAACCCACCAATAAGCTGAAGAACAAAAACAGGCAGCAGAAACAAAACACAAATCAAAAGAGGAACTACCAAAACAAACCCCACAAAGGAAACATTGAAGGCTCTTAGTAAGAAAGGGAAAGGGATTGGAGAGATGGCTCAGTGGTTAAGAGTACTGGGTGCTCTGCCAGAGGACCTGGGTTCAATTCCTGGCACCAATATGGTGGTTCACAACTGTCTAACTCTAGTTCCAGGGAATCCAGTGCCCCATCTGGCCTCCACAGGCATTAGACACACTCGTGATTCACCTACATACATGCAGGCAAAATGCCCATACACGTAAAGGGAGAGCTGGAAGTGGTCTTCTCCCCAGCCCCTCCTCCCAGTTCCTCTCCCCTTCCCTCCATGGGGACGTACCTAGCATCTGTCCCAGGTACTCCCCTCCTACATCAGAGAATTGGTTGTGGCTGAGGTTCAGTGACCGAATTCGGTAATTGGACTAAAGGAACAAATTGTAGAGAGGTTAATTTTCTTCCACTTACTTATCTTGAGACAGGAGATTACTATGTAGTTAGTACAGGCTGGTCTTGAACTCTCCATCCTTCTCCCTCAGCCTCCTGAGTTCTGGGATTACAAACATGGGCCGACATGCCCAAACAAGAGGTTATTTTTGTCTTTTGATCACATAGCTTTCAGTCAACCTTGAGGCAGAAGGAAAGAGGACTCCGGGTACCTGAAGTTGGGTGGGCTAGGGTTCTTAAGCAAATGATTTCCTATACATTTTTTTTTTTTACCTTAACTATTAATGGTTTCTTGGAGAATTATTGTTACCCAGATAGCTCTACGACTTGCTGACGTTTTTGCAGGGAACAAACATATATTAGTTTCCCAAACCACGCAAGTGTCTTTGCCCAGAGTGTTTCTCAGGTCACCCAGAATTCCCAAGGGACATTCTCACATGCTCCTTACCGACAGGGCTTGGCATAAAAGTGCAGCAGATTCTTCCTTGAAGTTGTTTCCTGAAGTGAGGATGCTTCATTAGCAACACACTCCAGACTATCCATGCTCCCTTGCCCTCCCCACACATACACGAGATGAAGCGCTTAAAGCCAATAGGTAGACACAAGGAATGGAGGAGACTGTTGACCGTCTCCTTCCTCCTCTCTGGCATCAAATCTGAATATCCTTAGTGTAGTAAGAATGCCTAACATTCGGACTGGAGAGACGGCTCAGCGGTTAAGAGCGCTGACTGTTCTCCCAGAGGACCCAGGTTCATTTCCCAGTATGGCAGCTCACAGCCATCTGTAGCTCTGGTTCCAGGGGACCCAACGCCCTCTCCTGGCCTCCATGGGCACCAGGCACACATGTGGTGCACACACACACATGCAGGCAAAACACTCCACACACAAAAGTTAAAAAAAAAAAAAAGTTTTAACAGTCATAGCAGCCCCATCTAGCAGCTGACGTTTCATAGAAGAGGAAATAAATGACGTGACAACCATCTGAAAACACGATCTCAACGTCACTGTGAATTGCTGCTGGTGATTAGTGCATTTGAACGTCCCAGCTTGGTGCGCTGGGCACTTGGGACCGTAATCCGCTGTCTTCAGAATCACCGGCTAAGCTGAATTCTGCGGCTGTTCTTGGCTCGTGCATGAGAAGGACGAGGTTAACTGAACAAAAGGGGGGACAGGTGTCGAAGCTGGGATTCTGATCCATGCACGGTGACCTCAACCACCTACGCATTTAACCGTTTGGTTCACAGATACCTTGGTTAATACCCTACTGGAGTAGAATAGGGAGGTAGAGAGTCCGTTGGTGGAACTGTAACTGGCTCTAGGCTTTTTAAGGGGAAACACAGAAGTTACATTTGGATTTTTTTTTTTTTTTTTTGGTTTTTCGAGACAGGGTTTCTCTGTGTAGCTTTGTGCCTTTCCTGGGACTCACTTGGTAGCCCAGGCTGGCCTCGAACTCACAGAGATCCGCCTGGCTCTGCCTCCCGAGTGCTGGGATTAAAGGCGTGCGCCACCACCGCTCGGCTCATTTGGATTTTTTTTTTACAAAGGTGGCTACATCCACTCATTACACCCTAGGGCGTCCATCTAGATACACTGGAACATGTGCCCAAAAGATGTGCATGCAAGAAAGTCCTTGGAAACATTAATGGAGAGGGTGGGACACTGAGCAGGACCTATCACTGTCCCTTCAGTCCACTGGTGTTTATAAAATATGCGGTCTCCCTGCAACATGGAGTACTATTCAGAGAATAAGTCTAGTTGTTCTATCAAGGAGGAAAACACACTCAGAGGGAAACAAGTGAAACTGAAGAGGAATACCCGATGTATGAGAGAGTTTCTATTAACAATAAGCATTCTAGTTCCTTTTCTGGATACTAAGATGTGGATGTTTTAAGACACTTCTTCGTATCTCAAAGGATGTTTTTTCATTGACAAATTCAGGTGTGGAATTCTTTTCTAAATTTTATTTTGTTATTTTGTATGTGTATGTGATTATGTGTACATGTGTGCATGTGTGTGTGTGTGTGTGCGCGCGCGCACGTGCACATGCCCCTCTATCTGTGTGTGTGGGTGGGTGGAGGCCAGAGGTTGATATCAGGTGTCTTCCTCAGGCGCTCTCCACCTAGTTTTTTGAGACAGGGCCTCGCTCTGAGCCTGGAGCTCACTGATTTGACTAAACTGACCAGCAAGCTTCCGGGATCCTCCTGCCTCTGCCTCCCAGCTGGAGGGCCACACCATCGGGCCAGCTCTCCACACGGGTTCTGGAGGTGCAAACTCAGGCACTTCCCCACTAAGCCATCTCCCCAGCTCCTGGTGTCTATTTCCTTTCATTGAGCTCCTTTCGGACTGACTGCACTTTCTGGATCTGAGACTTCAGGAAACACGCCAGCGATTTTTGTTGAAATATTCCTGCTTATTCATTCTCTTCTTCTGGAACGCCTACCAGCTATGCTGGATCTGCTCAGTCTTTCATATTCTTTTATCTACATGTTTATTTCCTGTAATGCAAAGATAAAATATCCTTTTCACTACTTCAAGTCACCTACATCTAATATGCTATTGAATTTATTCACCAATGTCTTTTTTAAAAACAATCTCTGTGTGTGTGTGTGTGTGTGTGTGTGTGTGTGTGTGTGTGTGTGTGTGTGTGTTTATGGATGACTTCCTCTATTACCCTGTGCCTATTTTCTGAGTTAGCATCTCTCACAGATCCTCGGGTCTGCTCATCTCTTGCCCTCCCCTGATCTGGAGTGACAGACGTACACCACTTGTACCTAGCTTTCACACAGGTGGTGCGGATCTGAACTCAGGTCCTCATGCTTTCTCAGCAGGTGTTTTATCCACTGAGTCATCTCCTGATCTTGAGATTTTTCTTCCACAAGGTCACAGTGTTTTACCACAGAAACAGAAAAGTAGTGAACACATTGTCTGTGTCTGAGAGTTCTATTTTCTGAAACTGCAAGTGTCCACTTTTTAGGGTTTTTTTTCTCTGTCAGTTTCACAGTTTTGGACCACCTGCATCAAAACGGATCTATGGGAATCCCAAGCCAACCGGGCAAAGAGTTGTCCTCCAAAGAGGTCCTACTGTTCAGCATCGGACCACTCTCTATACTCATTTCTTGGCTTAGAAGTTCCAGAGCCCCGCAGACAGCATGCATCTGCAAACCCAAGTGAGGGCGTGTCTGGGTACTAGAGTTTCCAAGGGACCCTGTTCCCCCAATAACGGATGGGGCATCACTCATTTCAAGGTAGACAGGCAGTAATCACGTGGTTAACAGACATTAAGACAGCTGGAGAAAGAGGACAGAGCGTAATGGTGATAGATAGGACATTGCTGTCGTGCTAGGAGTCAGAGAAGTCCCTTTCAAAGATGATGTGGGAGTGAAGGTGTGAAGTGACAGAGTAAGGCTCACGAGCCAGGCAGACCCCAGAAGGTGGAGATGTCCAAGCCAAGAATACTGCAAAGAGAGCTTGTTTGGGAAAACAGGATGTTGGTGTGGCCCTGGAGGGACAAGGCTGCCTGGTCCAGCAAGGGGAAGATGCAGCGTGCTGTTCTGAGATCCTCTGCTCTCCTGAGATCCTCTGCTCTCCTCTCCCTGTGTTCTCAGCATCGTCCTCCTCCCTTCCCCTCCCCTCCCCTCCCGTGGGCTCACCTGAAAGTTTCAGTTTCCAGAGCGAGGAGTTGTTTTCCTGGAGGAAATCTGAGATGATCCTGGCTCCGTCTATACCAAGGTCGTTGTCAGACACGTTCTGAGAGGTAAGAGCACACACATGCAGGAAAGAATAGCACAAAAAAGGCCCTCAAAAACAAGGGGGTGGGGGCTGGTCAGGGGACGAGTGAGGGGGTGAGATGGGGTAAAAGGCTTAGGATTGAGGTAATGCGAAAGACAGAGAGATGGGAGGCAAGGAAGCTTGTTCCCAATCTGGCTTCCTTTATGTCTCCCATGGAATCTCATTTTTCTCCAATATTGTCTTTAATGACACCTGACTCCCTCAGTTTAGCCCTGGTATTTCAGATAAGCCTATCAGTTGTTTGTTTTGAAGCCCGAGGCAGTATTCATTTGGAGGATTTGAAAATGAGCCACCTCACCAGGTCCCCGCTTTCCGAAGAAGAAGAAAGCATGGGTAAACCATTCCATTTCGGGACTTGTAAGGAGCCGCCAGAAATGGCTCTTCAGGTTTTCCCACAGCCACAGGGTACAGTGCCTGAGCCAGCCTTTGATACCTGGCCCTTCTCTGAGAAGTTGTGTCTAGAGAGGAGGATGGCACCGACCAGTTAGAGATAGCCCAAAGATGACCTGGGCCTGGGCTGGGGGGCTCTGGCTTGGCTTGAGTGGTTCTGAGTCCCCAGGAGTGCCAGGAGGAGCTGGTGGAGGAGGGCGCCCTACCAGCTCCTGTAGGTAGTAGTTCTCCTGCAGCATCTCCATCAGACTCAGGATGCCCTCGTCCATGATGGAGTTGTCTTCCAGCTCCAGTTTGAGGATCGTCGTGTTGGACTTTGACCGTCACCGTGGGAGAGGAAGAAAGACAAGGACGTGTTTAGTGACTAAGGTGGTTCTCTGTCCACTCTGCTCCAGAGCTTGGTTTCTCTCTAGAACATCCCAGGCACGTGAACATCCCAGGGTGCTGTGTTGGAGGCCTGGTCCCCAGTGTGGCCATGTGGAAGAGTTCCTGAGACCGTGGCGCTGTTGGTAATGTGCTTGCCAGGCAAGCATGAGGATCTGAGTTCAAATCCTCAGCACCAGCATTACGTAAAGGTGCATGCCTGTAATCCTAGCGCTGGGAAGGTGGAGACTGGAGGACCCTGAGGCTTGCTGGCCAGCCAGTCAAGCTGAATCAGTGAGTGCCATGTTCGGTGAGAGATCCTGAATATGATGGAGAGCAATATAGGAAGTCACCTGACATCACCCCCCCCCCCTTCTCTGTGAAGAATTCAAGGTCAAGTCCTTGTTTGGTCATGGCAAGCCAAGAGATAATATTATTCATGTGGAAAAATGTGATTTACTCTGCAATATGATTTCTAAAAATGATAATGTGCAAGGCAGACATTGAATGGAATGGCTCAGTAGTGGCTCCATGTACGGCCAAGTTCAGCTTTGGAATGGAGATCCAGGCCTACATTTTGTACTTGCAGTAACTCTTGGGCCTGGTTCTAGTCCATACAGGCTGGCTGATGCCTTGTTTCCCAACTAGGAAAGGCCACAGTCTTCAAAGTACAGCCTCTTCCATGAGCTAACAGGGAAAACAATGGCCAATGACTGAGAAAGGACCAGGGTAAGTTGCTCTTTAGACACCAAAGAGAGCACCCTCTAAATGTCAAACTAACCACCCTGTTAAGCCTCTTCCACCAGGTCAGATGTGTTCCGTTGGCCAGCATGCTCACCACCAGAGTTATAGCGATGGCCTTGGTGCCCTTGGGGCCCAGCCCATGATGGTTGAGGTTCATGTAGGGCTCCTCCATGTTCCGGATGAAGTAGGAGGCGGGCACTACGCCTACTAGTTTGCAGGCCTCCAGGTACAGCTCCTTCTGTCCGATGGTGAAGAATTTCTCTGTGTCTGTATAGAAAGCCAGAATGAAATGAGGGTTCTCTTCCAGTCTGCCTCAGCCCCAATCGCCCCGGGGGAGGTACTCTTCCGCTTGGGCTTTCCTCTGCCTGGGATCTGCCCTTGTGGGTCTGTGCTGTAGAACTCAGCTTTTCCAGCTGTGGATGATGATGTGTATACAGGAGAGTGTGACCAAATGTGGTGGGCACAAGAAACTGGCCACAGTAAAATGTTTCTGAAGGTGTGATGACCGCAGATTAATTGACAGTCACACATGAGATGAATCCAGTGTGTTTCCAGATGTGCTCGTCCATGTGGCATCTTGTGTCTTCACCACAGGCTTCACTCTGAACACAGCATGCACACTGAGCACTTTACACGCTGTGGCACTACACAACACCACAGCTACCAAAACACCTGGGCTGCGACTCCAGATTCTTGTATATTATGAATGGCAGTTTTTTTTTTTCTGCGCATACAATGTTCCCCTCTTGTAGAAACATGGTTTAGTCAGGCAGTGGTGGCACATGTCTTTAATCCCAGCACTGGGGTGGCAGAGGCAGGAGGATCTCTGAGTTTGGGGCCAGTCTGAACTATAGAGTGAGTTGCAAGATAGGGCACAGAGAAACCCTGTCTCAAAAAACCAAAAGCCAAAATCAAACAAACAAACAAAAAACCAACCAAAACAAACAAACATCCCACATGGTTTAACTATGAAAAACAGAGACTTTCAGTACTTCCCTACTATCCATTCCTCAGTATGTACATATCAAATCAGTATATCTTTGAGTTAGGTTAGATTATAATGTGATTGTGTTACAGTACAATACAAAAATATTTGAAGTTTTTTCTAAATTTTACTTTATGTGCTTTGGTGTGAAGGTGTCAGATCCCCTGGAACTGGAGTTACAGACTGTTGTGAGCTGCCATGGGGGTGCTCTTCCTCTGGAAAAGCAGCTGGTGTTCTTAATTGCTGAGCCACCTCTCCTGCACCCAATTTTTTTTTTAAAGATTTGTTTATTATGTATACAGTGTTCTGCCTACATGTGTCCCTGCATGCCAGAAGAGGGCTCCGGGTCTCATTACAGGTGGTTGTGAGCCACTATGTGGTTGCTGGGAATTGAACTCAGGACCTCTGGAAGAGCAGCCAGTGCTCTTAACCACTGAGCTGTCTCTCCAGCCCCCCCTCCCCAATTTTTGGTTTAATTTTGAGACAGGGTCTTTTTAATGCAGCTGCTCTGTCTGTCCTGGAACTCACTATATAGACCAGACTGGCCTTGAACTCCCAGAGATCCACCTGACTCCGCCTCATAAATTCTGGGATTAAAGGTGTATGATGATACACCTGGCTACAATGTTTAACTTGCTGCAGAATATTTGATCACACTGTGAACCCTGAGTTTGCGTTTGCATGAGTTAAATGAAATCAACCTTGGGTCAGGAGACCGGGTTGACAGAAAGTAATCGTAAAGAGTCAGAGGGTATCTGGAAGACAATAGAGAGGCACACGGAAAGTAGTGGGGGGGACTTAGTATAGCATATAGCATTTTTTTTTTTTTTTTTTTTTAGGAGGGAAGGGGAAGGACACTCTCTCTCTTAGATGTCAGCAAAGAGAGAAGGTCAACTGGCTGCTCTTTAACTTCTCTGAGCTATCGGGTTTTCACCCCAGCCTCTGACTCCCGAGTCTTAATGATAAACAGAACGATAGAGATTTAATTAAGAGCCATATATGGTAGCAGCGACAGAGCCGGTGTCTTCAGGAACAGAATTCCCGCCAGGCTGTGGCCTGAGTGGCCAGGCTGCTGCCAGAGAAGCAGGCTCTAAGGGCGGAGCCACAGCTACTGGCTAAAACAGCGGAAGATGAAGGCGCAGCCTCTGTGCCAACAGAAAAAACAACAATGACTCAAGTATCACAACGAAGCTATTAAATCAGTTTTGACTTGGGATTAAAAACAATTTCTGTCAATGACTGAAATGGTTCTACACATACTTTTATGTGTGTGTTTGCGCATGCGCGAGCGTGTGTGTGTGTGTGTGTGTGTGTGTGTGTGTGTGTACTTGTGCACGATCTCGCCAGAAGTCAACCTCGGGACATTCCTCAGGCATTTGCACTTTGGTTTTTTTGTTTTTGTTTTTGTTTTTGTTTTTTTTTTGGTTTTTTGAGACAGGGTTTCTCCAAGTAGTTTTGGTGCCTGTCCTGGATCTCGCTCATATAGACTCCAAGCCCAGAGCCAGGAGTTTGGGAAGAGAGACGACACTAGCTTCAGATAGCCCAGGGGGATATATCCCTCTGGTTAAGAGGAGAGGCTAGTGGTTTTATGTTGCAGGCCTTTCTAGGAAACAGGAACAGTATGCCTTTGGTCACCTTCCCAGGCTGGCCACATTCAAAGACTGGTCGTAAGTGGTATTTAAAGGCCCAACCCCTCTGTCTGCCTTCAGACAACACTGCAGGGTCAAGGAACACCCCACTGCTGACTTTTGATGGTCGAAAGAATCTCTAACTCAATCTTCATTTCACTAACACTGCTTTTTATTACTACTATTACTTAAGTTTATGTGTATAGGTGTTTGCTCTGCTTGTATGTCCATCCACCGTGTGTGCTGGTGCCCACAGAGAGCAGAGGAGGGTGCTGGACCCCCTTGTATTAGAGTTAAAGCTGGTGGTAAGCCACCACCGTGTGGGTGCTAGGCATTGAACCTGGGTCCTCGGGAAGAGCAACCAGTCCTCTTAACCACTGAACCATCTCTCCAGCCCCAGCTAGTCTTCTTAAAACATAAGTCACAGCCAGTGGTGCAGCTTGGCAGGAGAGTGAAGTCACGAGGTCACAGATATGTGAGTCCTTGGCTTGATTCCCCAACACCACAAAAAACTGTGAGCCATGAATAAAACTTTGCCAAAGATTTGGAGAAGCACCTGCTTAAACAAAAAACCAGTTTGGGGTTGTTTTTTGTGTTTGTTTTTGTTTGTTTCGAGACAGGGTTTCTCTGTGTAGTTTTGGTGCCTGTCCTGGATCTCGCTCTGTAGACCAGGCTGGCTTCAAACTCACAGAGATCTGCCTGGCTCTGCCTCCCGAGTGCTGGGATTAAAGGCGTGTACCACCACTGCCCAGCAAGACAGTCTTATAAACTGACATTGGGGGTAAGGGCCACTTTGACCTCCTCTTTTGATGTGGCCTGAGAATCACTGACTGCCACCCACGTTCGAGAACACACGAGAGGGTGGGGATAACGATGCGCAGAAGTAATCTCAGCACTTGGCAGGGGGTGGGATCAAGAGGTCACGGTCATCCTTGGCTATGCAGTGAATTCAAGGTCTGTCTGGACTACACGCAACCCTTTCTCACTAAGACAAAAGCAACAAGAGAAGAATGGTGACTGGGCTAGACAAAGTGTGAAAAGCTGAAGACTGCCCCTGCCCAATGGGGCAGCATCCTTTTCCCCTCGCTTCACAGATGCTCACAAACGAGCTTTTTTGGCCCTTTTCTCCTTGAGGGAATAACAGGAAGGAAGGGATGCTGGCCATGTGTTGTTTGCGAGAACAGAGTGTCTGCTTCAGCTCCGTCCGATGGGGTAACCAGGATGCTTGATTTCTGTGACAAAACTTGGGGCTCTGAAGCAGGAGAAACGAGAGCTCTTAGGTGACCAGAAAGCCCCAGGGTTAGGGCAGCAGAGACACTCTAGGGTACTGAATGGAATCCTGAATGCCGAAGACAGGTCAAACGTGGCATCAGCTTAGGGAGCCCTGGCCAGCTCTTGGTGTCTTTGGGTGACTCTCACAATCGTTAAGCCTCTGTTTCCTTTCTAGAAAAGATGGAATAAAGTCCGCCTTCTGGGGTTATGGGAAAATCACATGAGAGTCACATGGGGTGGGGTGGGGTGGGGCTGGAGAGGTAGGTCAGAGGTTAAAAGCCCATACTGCTCTTTCAGAAGACCTGAATTCAACTGCCAGAACCTATGTCAAGAAGGCTGCAACGGTCTGTAACTTCAGCTCCAGGGGGTATCTGATGCTTCTGGCCTCTGTGAAAGCACCTCGACTCATGTACACACACACACACACACACACACACACACACACACACACACACACAAGTCATATGAGAGAGATTTAAAGATCAGACACTTCTGTGTGTTGCTTTAGATCTTAACAACAACCTGATGTGGGTCCTGCTCAGAAGGTCCTGTGTTGTCTGTCCCCAGCCAACCAGGAGGAGCAGGTGCTCTAGAATCGAGCATAGCCTTCCTGACCCGATCTTCCAGTAGGACAGAGAGGAACATTCTGGTGGAATCACATCTCTCCAGTACCCGAGGAAGCTGGCTGGCCCCCCACCTCTCCGCAGATGTTGACCTCACCTTCAATTTCCAAGTCGGTTTCTGAATCCTCCTGGGTGGGTTTCTCTTTCTCAACGCTTGGGGGGGCTTCGGCTTCGCAGTAGAGGGTGTCATCGCTGCTGTGAGGCGCTAATGAGGCCTCATCTGGAAGAAAAGCCCGTCCAGTTCAGGGACTCAAACCTGCAGCCCATTGGGTGACACCTGCCACTGACTCCCCTTAGAGTCTGCCTCCCTCCCAGGTTCTGCCTGCAGCCTTTGTCCCATAGCCTCACGCAGCAGCCCTGCTGGGGAAACCCCCTTCTATAAGACCTCCATATGGCTGAGTTGGTGGAGTCCCTGTGTCCCTTGTTGGCAGGCAGCTCCTGTCCCCGTCCCTCATCTGCCTGCTTTTGGTGGGGCCTTCGCTCACACTCCCCTGTCATCATTTGCATGGAAGGATTTTGGGGTCTGCTGTTGAATCTGTTACTCTTTGTGGTGAACAGATGTGTTCCAAAGCCTGGGCTACTTCATGGTCACACGCTGTGCCGCCGGGAGGTAGGTGACGGGCAGGATAGGTGGGGACTGGGATTGGATGCCAAGGAAAACAGACCCGGATCCGTTCCAGGGAGCAAGGGGACAGTCAGATGTCTAGGAAGGCGGCCTAGCTTCCCTTCCCTCGAGTTCGGCACTGTTCCTGGGCCTATGAAGGACAGGCTTGAGGGTGTCCCCTGAGCTGAAGTTTGTTGCTGTGACTGAGCGTGCTTGTCTTCACCGGATGAGGCTCTGGTGAGAGCAGCAGTGTCTCCTTCACTCCGGGCCCTGTCCTTGCTGGATGTGGTTAGTTAGTTCACTGGGCCAGGGAGTGGTGGGCTCCTGGGAGCCACACACAGGATTCAGAGATGACGAATCCAACATCAGCAGGCCTCAGGGGGTTCAGGAAGCCACACTTGTGCTTCCCAAAGGCCTAGCAGACAGGGCCAGCCCTCTCTCTTTCTCTCTCTCTCTCTCTCTCTCTCTCTCTCTCTCTCTCTCTCTCTTTCTCTCTCTCTCTCTTTCTCTCTCTCTCTCTCTCACCTGTTGGTTTTATTATTTTTATTCTTTGATAATTTCATACATGTTTACTCATCTACACTTTGAGTGGGTTGAGCATTATGTACCCCCACCAACCCCTGTTTTCACAATTCAGATTCTTGGATGGCGGGCTTCTTAATGATCCCAAGCAGATGTGTGTCTTCATTTTTTTTTTAATTTTTTTTTGGGGGGGACTGAGGATCGAACCCAGGGCCTTGTGCTTGCTAGGCAAGCACTCTACCACTGAGCTATATCTCCAACCCGTGTCTTCATTTTTGATCACAGAGCCAGGTCCCGATATTTATCCCTAAGCCGCCGTGACAAGTTTCCATGTGACATCTAATTTGAGTAGCAGGGGCTCAGTGGTCAGAAAGCATTCAGAAGCTCAGCTACCCAGTCTGCCGCCCTGGGCTCTGAGAAAAGGGACAAATTTCTGACTCTGTTTCTTTATATGTCAAACAATAAAAGAAAGGAAGGAAAGAAGGAAGGAAGAGAAAAAAGGAAGGAAAGGGAGGGAGGGAGGGACAAAGGAAGGGAAGGAAAGGGAGAAATAAATAAATAAGAAAGAGAGAGAAAGAAAGAGAGAAGGAAAGAGAGGAAGAAAGAGATGTGTTGGGAGTTGTGCAGTGTGTATGCTTGCAGTGCCCATAGAGGCCAGAAGAGGGCGTCGAACCCCCTGGAGTTGGCGTTTCAGGTTATTGTGAATCCCTGGGAAGTGAACTAGAGTTCTCTGGAAGAGCAAAAAGCTCGAAGTGCTGATCCAAATCTCCAAACCCTCATAGTTTTAGATTTCCACTCAACCAGGGGGATCCTAGCAAATTAACAACTATCAGCCAATTCATGTGGTGTAAACATTTCCAGTATGGCTGGTTTCTAACTATCAACGTGATGTCAGCCAGTCTACAAAATGAAAATTAAGATTGGTTAGCCCTCATGAGAGCCAAGTTTAGCACCATCACTCACTATGTTTGAGTGGTTTCTAAACCCTGTCGCAAATGTCACACGTCATCTCCATTGCAGAGACTCAGGCAGAGGGAGAAGGGCTTTTGGGGTCTACCCGATCACTGGGCACTACTCTGGGAAGGGAGATAGATAAGGGCCTTTTCACCTTTGGCCTCAGACTCAAGAGGCTCATCATCATCATCGTCCATGCTGCCAGGACTCTCTGGGGGGCTGACAGCTTCTTGTCCCCTGGTGGCTGCGTCCCTAAGAGGCACACCTGTCCATTCAGCTCTGTTTCAAACTATGTGCACGGCTGCCCTCTCGAGGGCAGATCCCAAGGGAACCTGGAGCTATTTTTTCATCCAAGCAAGCTTGGAGGAGAGCCGGCTTCGGTGGGAATCTGGCATGCATGGATTTGCCTCCAACTCTGTCTGGGGGAGGTTGCTAGGCCTGGATGGAGCTCATCCGGGACAAAGATAGAGCTCTATCCCCCCTGGACCTTGGTCAAAAAGGATGCCCGCCCACTTATGACTTTGTGACATAAGAGCCCCTTTCCTTTTAACTTCAACATTCCATGAGCTCATGCAGTCATTGTGATCCTTGAGGGCGGGCCCGGCAACAGCAGCTCTCCCGCCCTTTTGGTGGCTCTGGGGTGGTCATTTTTCTCATATGTTCGCTGGGTCCAAGCCCAGACTTGGCTGTGAGTGCTTGGGTGCTGTGGGGGGGCCTCTTAGTGACAGCCTAGTTCCTTCTGAGTCAGAACCAAACCCAAGGCTCCTCCTAATCAGGTGACCGTGAAGCGCCGCCACCATGTTTTTCTCTCCAGGTGGCTGCGCTTCAGGTACAAAGTATTTCAGTGATGGGTGAAGTCAGAGCTCTTCTAGCCAGTTCTTCTTTTTTGCTTGCACCCTTGGGAGAGCACCCTCCACCTCGGAGCCGAAGGACGAAAGCGCAGCACGACAAGCCTATGTTCAATCACTACGGGTTGTTGCTGCCACAGCACTGTTCAAGCCCCACTGCTAGGCTGTGTGACTGGAGGCCAGCATTTCCACGCTCAGCCGGGATTCCCACGCTCAGCTGTGTTCACATGTGGAGCTGAAGTTCACTTGCAGCGGGGTGTCGGGAGAACCCGAGGGCTGGTCTGCTGCTCCTCGACTAGGGCTTCCGAGCATCACACAGTCAGGTCAGTGGCGGGAAGACTTGTGGGGAGGGCAAGTGAAAGTACCCTTTGTGTCGTTTACGAGATGAAGATCTAGAAATCCGGCTTGGACATCTGTAGTTTCGGGTGTGTATGTGTAGGCAAGAGGACGCCTCTTATCGGTTCTCTTCTTCCATCTTGTTCTCGAGGCCGAGTTTCTTGTTTCTGTGTTGTAGACTGTGTTGTACTCCAGGATGGCTGCTCCGTGAGACGGGATGGTTCTCCCGTCTCCTCAACTCACCGCAGGAGTGCTGGGGTTAGAGATGCACACCCCACACCTGCACTTTTACATAGGTTCTGGGGACTGAACTCGGGTCACCAGGCTTTTGAGTCCATCTTCGCGCATGAGGCGGGAGAGTCCTGTGTGCATGTTGCATTGTCTCGGCACAGCCATTGAAAGGGCTCTTCTCTTCTCACTGAAGCTTTTTCATCATTTTCATTCATTGTTGGAGATTGTGTCCTTTCTGTTTTGTGTCACAACCAACCAGGTGGTGGCACTTGCCTGTAATCCTAGTACCCAGGAGGCAGAGCTGGGAAGATCACAAGTTCAAGGCCAGCTTGGACTATAGAGTTTCAAACCAAACCAAACCTCAGAATGCTGCATTGTACCATCTGATTAAACCACTGTGCGCTAAAGTGACTAGTTTGCGAGACAGTCCCCTGCAGTGCTCAGGGGTGGGCCCGAGGGCACCTGGGAGATGAACTGATGCTGCAGGTAATTCAAACAGCAGGGTGCCATGATTTTGGAATAAATCAAAGAGAATGGTCATCTGGGGCAAGGTTTGGATGCCAAATACGAAGAGAATGAGAACTGGACCATGAAGATGACTCAGGGGTTAAAAGCTCTTGCCACCCAGCCTGATGGAGCAAAGTTAGATCCCTGGGACCCACATGGTGGAAGGAGAGAATGGAATCCTGAAAGCTGTCCTTTGATTTCCATGTGTGTGCTGTGGCACTATCCTTAACACACACACACACACACACACACACACACACACACACACACACACACACACACACGTTTTAAAAAGAAGAGGATGTGTGTGTGTGTGTGTGTGTGTGTGTGTGTGTGTGTGTGTGTGGTGTGTGCACACACCCTCACATCTGCATGCAGAGGACAGAGTGGGGCACTTCAGGAGTCTTCCTCTATTGCCCTCCATTTTATTTTATTTTATGTATTATGGGTGTTTTGTTTGCATGTATGTCTACGCGTTGCTTGCATGCCTGGGTAGGGCAGGCATGAAGAGGCCAGAAGAGGGCATAGGATCTTTTGGAACTGGAGTTACAGATTGATGCCTTATCGGGACTGGGGATTGAACCCGGGTCCTCTGGAAGAGCAGCCAGTGCTCTTAACTGCTGAGCCATCTCCCCAGCCCCCACTGCTTTTTGTTGTTGTTGTTTTGTCTGTTCGTTTTTGGTGGGGTCCATCACTGAATCTGCAGCTTGATGGTTTGTTTCCTTTGGGGCTAGACTGGCTGGCCTACAAGCTCCCAGGATCAGCCTCCCAACACTGGGGCTGTAGGCATTTGTGGCCATGCCTGGTTTTCACGTAGGTGCTAGGGATTAGAACTCGGGTCCTCTTGCTTTTACAATAAGTACTTGTGCTGGGTATGCTTGGTCGTCAACTTGACTACATCTGGAACAGCCATCACAAGTACTAAGAACACAAGTCACTGGGTATACCTGTGAGGGATTTGTAGTGAATTCCAGATGTAGTCAAGTTGACAACCAAGAATAGCCATCCCAGAACTCTTAACCACAGAGACATCCTCCCAATCCCAATTCCCTTCTTCATTACCAGTATCTCTGCTCACCAGTGAGGTTTGAAGCAGAGGGAGTCCTTTGTGGCCTCCATGCTAACATTTATATATATGTACACGTATCCCTGATAAGCGCCACACTCTGCTCCATGGACTTCATATGTTTTAATTTGTTTCAGCTGCTCAAAGCCTCTATTACTCCTATTTTGCAGAGGAGGAGACTGAGAGAAGGATTAGGTAACTGGTCCAAGGTCACAAAGCTAGTGGGTGACGGAATGGAGATATAAGTGGACTCTATCTGGCTTCAGAGTCCACGCTGCCTCTGTAATGGCTTCTGTGTTTGAACAAAACAAGGCTGTTTCCTCTCTGGGGCAACTGTAGCTCTCGATTGAGGAAGGTTTGTGCTCAAGTGATGTATTTCAGGATTGGTGAACTGTGTAGTCCACTGGTTAAATATGGACCATGGCTTGTTTTTATAGTTTGTTGACACAGTTATGCTCACTTTAGGCATGGCCTATGGCTGCTTTCAGAACTCTAGAAAGCCCCAACTACTTCCTATCTGGTTCTTTAAGAAAGAGTATTTGATGGCAATTAAATAAGATGATCCAGGATGGAAGGTCCAGTTTCTTTTTTTTTTTTTCTTTTTTTTTTTTTTTTTGGTTTTTCGAGACAGGGTTTCTCTGTGTAGCTTTGCGCCTTTCCTGGATCTCGCGCTGTAGACCAGGCTGGCCTCGAACTCACAGAGATCCGCCTGCCTCTGCCTCCCGAGTGCTGGGATTAAAGGCGTGCGCCACCACCGCCCGGCAAGGTCCAGTTTCTTAGGGGAAGAGACTAGAGACAAAGGGATTCGAGCTGTGGTTCTCAATCTTCCTGATGCTGCGACCCTTTAATACAGTTCCTCATGTTGTGGTAACCCCCAACCATAAAATTATTTTTGTTGCTACTTTATAACTATAATTTTGCTACTGTTATGAATCATAATGTAAATATTTGATATGTAGGATATGCACTCACAAAAGGGTCAAAACCCATGGCTGAGAACCACTGGATCAAAGGGAGGAAGTTTGCAGAAGCCAGATTAGGAGAAAACACGACCTAAGAAAGGAATAAAAGTTGTTGTGTTAGTTGTAATGATGCCCGATTTTATGCAAAAAAATTATTTTGATACAGGGTCTTGTTATGTAACCCTTGTTGACTTTGAACTCATGATGTTTACTGTGTCTTGGCTTCCTAAGTACTGGGATTACAAGTGTGTGCAATCACATCTGGTTTGGGATTTATTGCTGTTGTTGATGGTGTATGTGTGTGTGTGTGTGTGACCAGAGGTTAATGCTCTACTGCTTTCCATGATCTTTTTACATTTATGTGTATATGTATGTGTGTGTGTGTGTGTGTGTGTGTGTATAGGTTTGTACATGTGAGTGCAGTGCCCTTGAAGGACAGAAGAGGGCATCAGATCTTCTAGAGCTGGAATTACAGGTAGCTATGAGGCTCTTAAATGTGGGTGCTGGGAACAGAGTCTTCTGTAAGAGCAGTGCATGCTCTTAACCACCAAACCATCTCTCCAGTCCCATTTCTGCCATTTTTTTTTTTTTGATACAGGGTCTCTCACTGAACTTAGAGCTCACTGACTGGATAGACTGGCTGGCCAGTGGCCCCCAAGATTTTCCTTCCTTTAACTAACAGTGTTGAGATTACAGGGGCGCAATGATACATTGGGCCTTTTATGTGGGTGCTGGGAATTCAAACTCAAGCCATTATGCTTGCCCATGAAGCCATCTCCCTAGCCCTAGGATCTTTTAAATGATAGTTTTAAGTGATAAGATTTCAAATATGGGGTGGGGGGCGTTGAATTAAATTACTTGTCTCATTGCTACAACCAAATGTCTGGCAAGGACAGCCTAAGGATGGAAGGTTTATTTGGCTCACGGTTCAGGACCAGTTCCAGTCCGTTACGGCAGGGAAGGCCTTTGGTGGGAGTGTGAGGAGGCCCACCATATTGTGTCTGTAGTCAGGAAGCAGAGTGGACAGGAAATGGGGGGTGGCCATAAAACCTCAAGGCCAACCTCTGGTGACACACTTCCTGCAGTTAGGCTCCACCTCCTATAGGCACTAGAACTTTCCAGACTGGCAACACCAGCTGGGAACAAAGTTCGAACAAAGGAACATAAAGGGAGCATTTTGTAGTCAAACCACATTCAGTTATGGAGTGCCCTGGCACTCAGCAGGGTGATGGGGATAAGAGGGTGCA